TATAGTATCAATAATGCGCAAGTCCTTCATATACATATCATAAACCATCATAAACATAAACATACATAAGAACATCCTCCCAAAACTCCCTTCAAGCTAGCTAGTGCAATGCTTAGGTAGAGTCCCATTCCCCTACCTAGACCAAGCTAGACCCCTTAGGTTATCCTAGTTAGAGTTCAATCCTTTAATTCATTTTACCTTTTGGGAACATCTTGATCTAACCGACATAGACCACATGAGCTAGTGCGGAATTCGGTGTCATAAGACCCTACACCGAAGGAAGGCGGACTACATGTCAAGGTAGTACTAAAACATAAAACATAGCAACTATGTGGATCCACAGCTAGTATTCCTATGGGGGAAACACAGTTAAAGAACTAGGAGATATAGTTTGGACCCTATTTATGCTCTATGCATTGTAGTCCCCAATCTCAAGAGTACTTTAGTGATCCTACCTTCCCTATGTGATAAGGGACACTCCTAAATCTAGTTCACTCGGTGCTAAGCTAGAGTCCCTTCTTGAAATGTCTTTAAACCTTTAATTATCAATAATAGCTTAGTTTAGGTCATAGGATCTACCCCTTGTATAATCATCATCATCAATAGCTCAATAAGATTTGTATGAGTATAAGTCCTTTCATTACAATTCATATAAGCGAGGTTAGCACATTAGCATTTAATATCATAATAATGCACATTGATAGTTATCATCATCCTTATAACACATACACCTTGATCAACCTCACAACATACTCAAGACATTTCAATTCAACATCATAACATACTATCAATCCTAATATAAGGCTTACTCTAATATAACATCATGACTTAACCACAATTAATCACAATTGGAAGTAAAGATAGAGATCATAAGACATAACAAGTCTCCTTCATAGTTCATCATTTAGACCTTTCTATAAACCCTCAATTCAATCAAATTTAGATATACCACATCATAATTCAATAATCAACATGATAAAAATACTAGAATATTCACTACACCATAATTCAATACTAAGTCAAAGCTTAAGACAAGATACTTATGTCAATTGTCACAATCCTAGATCACTTCTCAAGAAACTAGCATCAAAGACTACAAGTCATCTTAGTTTGTTTATTATTAGTGTAACAACATCATTTAATAGTGACTTAACCAATAATCAAGTCAATTGAATCAATCATAACCCAATTCTCATCAAGATCAAACCTAGGGTTAAGGGTTAACGATCATGCTCTTCAATTCAGATCAAACCATTACAAATTATCATAATCAGTTAAAATACATGTTATCTATTCATTATATCCTATATAAAACATAAACAACTCAGTTCATAACATCAAATTCGTAATTAAATAAAACCCACTTGAAAACCCAACTTTTAGAAATACTTTGAAGGAGCCATTTGAGAAAAAAAGTCTCAAAGGTAAATTAGATCTCATACCTCAATGTTTGATGAGATTTGATGATGAAATCGTCACTTTCCGTTGCCTAAAACCTCCCCCTAGCTTGTCTTCAATGGTGTCTTCCAAATAGAGAGAGAAAGAAGAGAGAAGGAAGAGAGTTTATTTTGTGAGGTGTATTTTATATTGAAGCTTAATTGACTTAATTAGATTCCCTTAATCCCCTAATTAATCACCTAACCCCTAACTAATTAAATGAAACCAACTTTAAAATGTGCAGGAAAATTGCAGGCTCATCGACAAGATCTCGACCAACGGGTTGTTGCTCCATCGACGGCCAAACCTGTATTCCGTGCTACACAACCACCGTTTTTGTCAGAGACTATGAAATTGGGGTTCTTCATCAAAATTCTAAGTGTTAGTCGACGGTTGAGAACGATGCCCTGTCGACCCACACACAGATCATCGACTGCCTCGTGGTTACACACTACCCAGTCATTGTTTAGACCAACGTGCAAGGGTCCTCCTCAAGGGACCTTCCACCAATTTTTATGAATTTACGACTCCTAAAAGTTAGTCGAATAGGCTAAGGCATGCTAGTAACCCTTAGAACTAGTTTTTGAATATCATGGATGTTCTTGGACGTTTTGGGTCCTAAACTTCCTAAATGACCTATATTTATTAGAATAAGTCTTAAAACAGTTTTTTAGACCCTAAGGTGAAAAGACAACTTTACCTTTACTCAAAATCCGGATTGGATTTATCTTAGTCCAACTGCCCAGCTTCCGAATGACATATCTCCCTCATACGACATCGGATTTTTGCAAACTCAGCGGCGTTGGAAAGATATTCCCGAGGGATTTGCACCCATTCAAAAAACTCATCCAAAATCTTCCTGAGCTGGAAGTTATGGCCGTTTGAAAATTACAAAACTCACTTTTGAAAGCTGAAAAATTTCCATATTTCCCTACTTACTCCCAAAATTGATTATTTTTTGTTTCTTGGCTTATTCTTAGTTAATTCAAGTTATCATATGTTATATATACTCCCTATATTTTCAACACTAATGTGGGCTAGAGACCCGAGTCATCATGATCATCCTACCGCATCAGTGTCTGAGGCTTACACTTGGGAGTACGTGTAGTTGTTAGTTGCTCTAGTACACTTGAAATATTCTTATACATTGTCTTTATTTTACTCTAGAATTCGAGACATTAGACTAATTCTTTAATTGAATTTGTATTATATCTAGTGACTTGTAGACGTGAACCAGGTTTGGGAATGTTTTATTTATATTATGGATTTTGCAATATGTTATTCTTAGTTCTTTGTTTTCTCTCTTATTTCTGGTTTTACCCTTGTAGAAGGTTGTTAAGCTGACCTACTTTGGTGGGATAAGACAGGTTGCAGGACAACCCAATTTTGAATGGTGACAAAATCAATTTATGGTTTTTATCTTTCGCAATGTCTTTACATATTTCCAATTTGATTAAATATATAATCTAGTTTAGTATACAACTTCATAGACTCCCGTTGGGCCAGAAAATCATATCAAAAACTCAACCTCAAACCCCTATGTCAAATTTAAAATTTCTTTTGAGTTGGTTCACCCATACGTTGGGGAACTCTCACATTGAAAATGAGTCGTTAATTGACCCCCATATTGTAAGAACTATATAAATCTCAATTTTGGGGTAACCCCCTCCCCCCCCCCAATTTCAATCCTGAAACTAAATTAAATCACTAATTAAATAATAAAATAGCAGAAAATTATAAATGGAAGTTTAGATATTTATACTCACAATGAAATCTTGAAATTCCTTCCAAAATCTCTCAAATCCAGTTTAATGCTCCAAAAACGAGTTAAAAATGATTAAGAACCGTTTGGATTGACTTAAAAAGTATATTTTAAGTTGAAAATAAGAAGTCAAACTTAAATGATTTTTAAGTCAAAAAATAAAAAATAGGGGAGACTTATTTCTTATTTCTACCTTATTTTAAACTTTGTGAAACACTAACTTATTTTAAGTTTAATTTATATGTTTGTCACACACTTTTAGAAATCAAACTGACATAAAACTAGATTTGACAAACTTATAAGCCAATTCAAACACTCTCTAACTCATCTTGGAAAAAACTTAATAAAGTTGTTAGGTTCTCTTTCATTTAGTTAGTATGATTTAATTTATTTATAAGATTTTGATTTGACACAAAATTTAAACAAATAAAAATAAGCAGACTTTAAGGGTGTGTTTGGTATGGAGGAAAACATTGTTATTTTCAATTTTTCCAAGTTTGGTTGGCTTAAAATGTTTGGAAACAACTCATTTTCCTCAAATTTAAGGAAAATGACTTTCCTTCCAAAATTAAGGAAAAAAAAATTCAAAACTCTACTTCATCTTTTAATTTTATTTCTTACCTTACTCATACCTTGTATCCGACCCTCCCAATTAAAACAAATAAAATAAAATAAGTTAAAATTTTCAAATATATTTTTATTTCTACCTCCAAACCAGCCCACCCCCTCCCCCAACCCAAAATGAATAATGTTATGAATTATTTTGATAAATGTTTCAAATTTTAAGATTTGTTTGCCTCACCCAACCCTACTATCCCTGTCCCCCTCCCCCCCCCCCCCCAAAAAAAAAATTGCTTTTGAAAATTTTCAATTTTTGGTGTCAATACCCTCGGCTCCTGCCGCCCCATAAAAAAATTTAAAAATTTATTCTGGAAAATATTTTAATTTTTTTAAAAAAAATTATGCTATCCCTATATTCTTTCCCCCACCCCCACCTCGTCAACAATATTTTAGAAAAATTGAAAATATTTCCAATTTATTTTTAAAAAAAACGTTCACTCGTACCCCCACCCAGGCATTCCTATTTTAAAAAAAAAATTGGGAAATATTTTAAATTTTTTTTAAAAGAAATCATTTTTACGCCCCCACCCCGCCCACAAAGTCATCCCCGTCAATTTTTTTTAAAAAAAATAAATGCTTTGAAAAAATAGTTTAAATTTTAAAAACTTCAATTTTTATGCCACTTGCACCCTCTACCCCTCCCCCTCCCCCCAACCCTAGTTGCCAAATATTTTCTTAAAAATATGTTTTTGAATTTTTTTCTCTTGGGTCGAATTTCGAAACAGTCATCAGGATCTTGTTCTCGTTCGGTATCGGGGTCTGATTGTTGATCAATTTTAGGAGTTGATTTTCAGATCATAAATTATTTTTCTAAAGAATATTTTTTAAGTCCCAAAAGATATTTTATGAAAAGTATTTTTCATTCACCAATCATACATTAAAATATATATTATCTACCATCCAATAAGACATGACAAAATAAATTAGAAATGCACTTATTTTCCATTGAAATTATTTCGTTCGTACCAAATACACCCTGAAACTTTTTAATGATAAACTAAAGTTTTATACTTTTTTTTTCTTTGATGTGAAGTAAAGTTAGACATGACAAAATCAGTTAGAAATGCACTAATTTTTCATGGAAAATATTTTCGTTCCTACCAATCGCACCCTTAAACTTTTTAATGATAAAATAAAGGTTTTTATAAATTTTTTCTTTGATGTGATGTAAAGTTTTATACTCAATAACTGTATCCTCTTAAGTATGAATCGTCCTTCATCTCCATCTGTGTCGTCTTGTATGTATTTGTACTACTGATTCAAGTAGGATTTGGGAGTTGACTCTTGTCTATCGATCTCCCCTTAGACATAAGATGGGTGTTATTAAAGCAGCGATTGCTGATGGGTTATTGACGTTTTTATGGGTTTTTTGCTCCTCTAATATTGGGGTTTCTACTTATTTCATAGCTTCTTATTTTGGTATTGTCAATGAAATTCCATCCCTTTTCATCACTACCCTTATTGTTTTTGTTATTTTCTTGATGTTTGATTTTCTTGGTGATGTATTGGGTGGTGCTGGTTTCAATCCAACTGGAAATGCTGCCTTTTATGCTGCTGGTCTTGGTGACGATTCTCTTGTCTCTGCTGCTGTTCGTTGTCCTGCTCAGGTTTTAAGCTAAAATTTCGGTAACTGAACTAAAATTTCATGGGTTAGGTTCAAGATGATTTGAATTGAGTCATTCTCAATCAATTCAATATTTAGCCTATTTTGAAAGAATTGAATTGAATTTACTTTCTATTTCAATTTTTATTTTAAGGCTCTTTATTTGCATTAACGTAAGCGTATGTTCTCATATTGAAGATAGCATATATCTATCTATTTGTAACTTTTTTTGTTTTTTTCTTTAAGTTAAAATTTGGGTTATAAAAGATATATAAGGAGATGTTTAAGTTATTGAGATTAAGTTGGTCAAATATGGCCAATCATGACTCAACTCACTTTTTAGCCCATTTGATTTCAAAATAAATTTGAGTGGGTCGTGATCCAACTTGATTTCTATTTCAATCTAGTTTAATATTTTGAATTTCAAACATATCCGTTCATTTATCACCCCACTCATTAGTGAATCTCTCTGTTATTTTATGTAGATATTAGTTATATAGTTATTCAACCTTGTATCTGTAAAATAATACATAGATTTTCCAATAATATATACATGTATTAGCAATATTACATAGAATTTCTCATAATTTATACATGTATTAGTTATGCAAGTTTCTAAATTGTCAACCAAGTCATAATAATTTTATATTTGAATAACTTATTTCCTATGTACCTATGAAATGTCATATAAGTTATTTGGAAATTTATACATATATAACTTGTTACTTATCTAGCTATCAAACGACTCCGGAACTTTTAAATTTATGTTCTACTGAAGTGGTGCTAGAAATAGAACTGTCTGATTTGATAATGAAATTTAAATAACAGAAAAGAAGGTGAATGGAATAAGCCCAATCCATTTTTTATCATTACAGGTAGCAGGTGCAGTTGCTGGTTCACTAGCACTCGTGGAGCTTATACCTAAACACTATCACCACATGCTTGACGGGCCTGCTTTGAAGGTGGATGTACAAACCGGAGCTATTGCAGAGGGTGTCTTGACCTTCGTAATCACATTTATGATCTTTGTCATTGTACTAAGGGGTCCGGAAAGTGTACTTCTCAAGAATTGGTTGCTCACCATGGTAACTCTACCATTGGTACTGGCAGGTTCAAACTTCACTGGACCTTCTATGAATCCAGCCAATGTAAGTAGTGACCTTTTTCTTGCATCTTGGAAACATAACATATTATTCGACTTTTACATGTTGTTCTTTTTATGGAACTGTTTTTATGATTTATAACATTTAAACATGTATGTTTGGTAATTTCTTTCATATATATATTTTTGTCTGACCGTCTTCATTAGTCGACCCTTTATTTTCTTCTTCTTGGTTTCTAGACTTGAGCTGTCGACATTACTGATGAAAAGAATCAGTCTTCCGGTGACTGTTCAAAGGGTAGGGTGGAAAAGAGAAAATGAAGGTTTTTGATGACAAATTCTTTTCAACTATCTAAGTATTTGTATATTTTATGAAAGATCTTCACTTACATATCTGGGATTTCAGCTTTTGTCTATGCATAAATATAGCATATGTCGGAAAAAAAAAACAATTCTAATTTATAGATATGGATGATTTTGAGCTTTTATTAGAAGCAATAAACTAGATACTGATGTAGGATAGGAATGCTCTCAAGGAACATCCAATCTAACTTCAGTTTCATAAATCATCTGAAAAGGCCCTCTTAGAAGATTTATCGACTTCCCCATTGTAAGAATAGTCAGAATATAATTCCGTTAGGGCTCATTTTATACAAGGGATAAGAGATCACTAATCACGGTATTAACTTTAGGATGAGTTTATCTCATGTTTGGTTGGATAGAGTTGCAGGATAACATATTCCAAGACTAGTTTTCTCGGGATTGAATTGAGGGTGTAACAATAATCGGATTTTCTGCTCTATGATTTCTTCATTTCCACTTTCGCTCTTCTTTTATTTCTTTTTAGCACCTTCTTTAGTAGCGCCCCTTCTAGCTATTTAAGGAAAAAGTTATCGAACAAGAAAATATGACAACCCCGTGCTTTAAAGGAGAATCATTACTGGGAGGGAATTTATATTCTTTTAAAGCTATTCTGTGTTCTTTCGAGCTCTAGCAATCTTGAAACTATGCATGAAGTCTCTGTGATCACAAACCTAGTGATAAATTGCAAGCATTCATGAAAACAAGGCTATATACTTTGTGCTAATTTTTGGCTGGACTCATGACTGGCGATCTTAGAGTCCACATTATTGTTAATGACATCAGAGAACCAGTGGTGTTGCTAATGCAGTGGTTACACTCAGAGAGACTTCCCTAATGAAAGTAGTGAAAAAGTTGGGATAATGCCCAAGTACCCCCTTAACCTATGCCCAAAATCTCAGAGATACACTTATACTATACTAAGGTCCTATTACCCCCTTGAACTTATTTTATTAATAATTTTTTTACCCCTTTTTAGCTTACGTGGCACTATCTTGTGGGCCCAACGATGGTTGACTTTTTTTTTTGAACTAGTGCCACGTAGACTAAAAAGGGGTACAAAATTACATATAAAATAAGTGCAGGGGGGTAATAGGACCTTAGTATAGTATAAGTGTGTCTCTGGGATTTCGGGCATAGATTGAGGGGTACTTGGGTATTTTCCCCGAAAAAGTTTCATAAGTGACATTCAACGTTAATTCTTTATTTTTTGGAATAATGTTGTTTGCTTACTTACCAAATACTAGAAAATAATTAAGAACACTTAATTTTTAGAAAAACATTTTCCTTCGTGCCAAATACACCCTAAGATGAACAATTGTTACTCTCTCTACAATCTTCGATTTCTAGTTTCTTTAGGAAATTATTACATAGTTAAGCATTTCTTTTTGACTGTCCAACTTTAATATTTTCCGAAATGCTGTCTTGTGTCCGTGTTACATCCCCATAGCCTCCCCACATCACACCATAAATGAATTGAGGCAGTCTTGAGAAACCTGCTTTAGACTTTGCTCTGCATCTCAATCTTTCCATAAGAAATCACTATTCTGTTTTTCTAAAGGAGATGATCATCGCAAAACGGATGTCATTTCTCTAATATTTCTCTATTAGGAAACAGAGAAGTGAAGAATGGTGCAAATAAAATGTGCCTATCCATGTGTGAACATTAACCAACTGAACCTTGATTATGCTATTTGCCTCATACTATCATGGAATAAGGTAATTTTTGAAAATGGATTTAATTAGACGGCAGATATTAGCAAAATATGTTTAATCTATGGATTGATCATATTTCTGTTATTTCCTCGTGCTTCCCTTCGTAAGTTGTAAACATGTTCTCATTACTTATTTGTATTTTCTGTGGCCTGTAGTCTAGTTACAAACTTCTTCATCAATGTTAGGTATCTTTGTTTACAATGTGGGAAACATAAGACCGGGAATGAGTTCAATCAAGAACTAAGTCTTTCATTTTACCCTCATTTTCTATGAACACGTTGTATTAGAAAACATAGGTACGTGACTTAAGTGAAAGAAAAAAGTCATAATGAATTATATGACGGTTTATGAAATTCACCTAAACCTGTAGCCATTTGTTTCTTTTCGTTGTTTCCTGCTTAAATTGTTAAATCGCCCCATAACACGCAACTATTTGTTATTTGCAGGCATTTGGCTGGGCTTACCTAAGCAATACACACAAGACATTGGAACACTTTTATGTTTATTGGATCAGTCCCTTCATAGGAGCAATTTTGGCTGCATGGATTTTTCGTGTTCTATTTCCGCCTCCAGTAGAGCAGAAGCCTCAGAAGCAAAAAAGGAACTGAATAAAATTGTTCTGCTTCAGTTCATTCTCCAGCTCCTTTTTTGTTGTTGTATTGTTCACCATAAAATGATCTATACCACATTCAGTATTCATGTAATATATATCATTTTATGAAATTATAAAAGATAGTAGTATTTTTCCCCTTTTAGTGACCATTTTTAAATTTTAATATTATTATTCAGCTATTGTTGAGACGTGGGTATTGTCATTGGAAAGAAGATTCAGAGATGTTTAATTTAATAGTTAATATGACACGTAACCCCAAACTTTCCTGCTAAACATGCTTCAAGTAATGATCATTTCATTCCGTCCAACAACATCGGAACGCTAAGGATCTGCTTCAACATAATGAGTGTCAAATACCCAACATTAAGGTAAATTTTGACAAAATTGAATTTTTTTATTGGGACTTGTTGATTTTTGGTGATGATATGACCAAGTAGCTCCTACGTTTTATTGTATTGAGGCCTCCTTTTTTTTTTATGATACACCACCACCAAGACATTATTACGGGTTCGGCTGTCTCATTTTATATGGCATTATTTAATTTGATACGATGTTAAAGAATAAGAAGATGACTATTGAAATTTGTGATCTAAAAGATGATTCTATGGTTGTTAACCATTTTATTAAGAGTATTGTTTCTGATCATAGTAAGATGACATTCTTTCTGGGATAGACCAATAAAAAAGAGATCACATCATTATTATTTTTGGGGAATGGATCAATAAGAAAAAGATAGTCACACAAAATGAGACAAATAAAGGAATTTTTTTACCTTTTAACTTTTAACTTTTAAGTAGCTCAAGATTGCTGTCCTACTACGCATAAATCATCATAAAATGGACAAATTTATAAGGATCTCATTTTCCACCTTCAATTAAATATTGGTTAAGACCAAAAAAAAATAATACACATAGAACAAGAAAACAAGAAAGACAGGTCTTTTAAAATACCAAAGCTAAAGAGAATCCAATCCATCATACTCTCTATAAGTAGAATGAATGTATGTTTTAAGTATTCGCACCAAAAAATAAGATGGATATTCTAACAATGAATCCAATCTCTATATTTGCAACATTTCCTTCTATTTCTCTATCTTTTCTGGTATTGATAGTTTTCTTCATGAGCAAACTAGGAGAAAAGCAAAAAGGGAAAAAGAAATACCATCCAATTGTTGATTCTACAACGAAGCAACTCATAAACTTTCATCGTATCCACGATCATATGGCAGATCTTGCTGCAAAATACAAGACTTATCGACTTGAGAGCCCATTTCGGAGAGAGATATACACTTCTGATCCAGCTAACATTGAGTACATTCTAAAAACCAATTTCGACAACTATGGAAAGGTAGTATCCACATAAGTAGTGTAATATAGTTAAACTGTTTGACTCACGAAATTTGAACTGTGTCATATAAACTGGGAAAGATGGATTGACTCCAAAAAAATGTTTGTGCAGGGAGATTACCATCATGAGATTCTAAAAGACTTTTATGGAGACGGTATGTTTACTGTAGACGGTGAGAAATGGAAAGAACAGAGGAAAGTTTCAAGCCCTGAGTTCTCGAAAAGGGTTATAAGGGAAGTTAATTGTGTTATCTTCAGCAAAAATGCAGTCAAGCTTGCTAACATCTTAGATGAATCCGCAAATTCAAAAGAAACAGTAGATATTCAAGTGAGCTACTTCAGCTTTATTAAACAAATCATGTCTTCTATAACGTCATTCTAGCTACGTACTTAATCAATAACCATCATATATATACATATATATATACATATATACATACATATATATATATATATATATATGCCTATTTTGTAGGATTTGCTTTTGAAGTCAAGTTTGGATTCAGTATTTCAAGTTGCTTTCGGGATTGAACTTGACAGTGTATGTGGTTCATGTGAGGAAGGGGCTAACAGATTCATCAAAGCACTTGATGACGCGAGTGAAATGAGTCTTTTGCGATACATTGATATGTTCTGGAAAATAAAGAAGGCATTGAATTTTGGTTCCGAAGCAAAGTTGAGGAAAAGTATGGAAATCATAGACGAGTACATGTATAAGCTTATTCGTAGCAAAGCTGAACAGCTTTCACAACAACGCGACACCACTGTAAGTTGTGATCATTTGAACTTCTCGTCCTCTTTCTAAACAATTAAGTTAATTTGTTGATTGTGAACATTTTACAGGAGAAAGCAGAGAACATTATGTCAAGGTTCTGGCATTACTCTTCGACGAATCCAAAGTACTTGAGAGATATACTGATAAACTTCATGGGTGGTGGTAAAGACACAACAGGAACGACACTCTCGTGGTTTATTTTAATGCTCTGCAGGTATCCACATGTGCAGGAAAAACTGGCTGAAGAAATCAAAGAAACAACGAATACGAAAGGAGGCAGCGGAACAATTTCAGATTTTGCAGCCAATCTGAAAGAGGAAGCAGTGGATAAGATGCATTATCTTCATGCTGTTCTTTCCGAGACAATCAGACTATATCCAGCCATTCCTGTGGTAAACATAAAAAACTTATTGTTGAAGTATGTAATCATCTCATCTTTCTTTCCGAGACTATCATACTATATCCAGCCGTTCCCGTGGTAAACATAAAACTTATTGTTGAAGTATGTGACCATCTCATCTTTCTTTCCGAGACTATCATACTATATCCACCCATTACCGTGGTAAGCATAAAAAACTTATTGTTGAAGCATGAAACCATCTCATCTTTCTTTCCGAGATTATCAAACTATATCCAGCCAATCCCATGGTAATCATAAGTAGACAAAAAATACTTCGACACTTATTTATCACCTCACATGCGGGCCTGATTTTTCCAAGCACGTGAATATTTTTTTGATATGGGTGGCGGTGAGATTCAATCCCAGTATCTCTGTCTGCTCTGATACTTTGTTAAAGTTGTGACAATTTTATCTAAAAGTTTAAGCGGTTAGAGAGAACATATTTTTATTATTTAATTATATTCTCAACACTTATTTTCTTATCTCAAAGTCCCCTGCTAGTTCTAACACGGGGTTTACATTTCATGCATCCAGAATGCCAAAGTATGCCTTCAAGATGATGTATTTCCAGACGGATATAGTGTGAAGAAAGGAGATATGGTAGCATACCCACCATACGCGATGGGTAGGATGAAATATCTGTGGGGTGATGACGCTGAAGAATTCAAGCCAGAACGATGGCTCGATGAGAATGGCTCCTTTAAGCAAGAAAGCCCCTTCAAATTTACTGCCTTCCAGGTCTGTTAACTAAACATAAACTATAAACATGATGTTTGAATATGCAGAGATAATATCTCAAATAGTTACTTAACTGTGCACTCTTTTTTCAGAAAGTCATTCTACTTTTCTTTAACTCAAAAGTCACTCAACTACGAGCTCTTTTCACAAAAAGATACTCAACTATTAGCTCTTTTCATAGGAAGTTACTCATGTATGAGCTGTTTCCACATAGAGTGACTGAACTACGAGGTTTTTTCAATAGAAAGTCACTCAACTTTTGATTTTTAACTCAAAAATCACTCAAAGTATGAGTATTTTACTTACAAAGTCATTTAACTTATTTAATTGATTTGATATATGTGGAAAAAAAACCATAATTGAGTACTTTTGAGTTAAAAATCAAAGTCGGGTGACTTTTTGTGAAAAGAATCTATAGTTGAGTAACTTTTGAGTTAGAAATCAAAGTTGAGTAATTTTCTGAGTTGACTAACCATTTGAGATATTATTTCGAATACATTGCATAATGTTCACTTCCAATTGTTCTCGCACATATGCAAAACAAAAAAGGGCATTCAATATACATGCATCATGAATTAACTAAAATCACATGACTCATTTCACTTTAGATTGTGGATTCTCCTCTCACATTCATCCAACGACATAATCTTATTATCACCACACGTTTAAATTACATCTGACGTGTGAAATATTATTGTTTGGATATACACTCACACAGGCTGGGCCAAGGATATGTATTGGAAAGGAATTTGCATACAAGAACATGAAGATTACTGCTGCAGTTTTAATGCAATTCTTTGTATTCAAATTGAGTGATGACACAAAGCCTGTGAACTACAAAACTATGCTTCAGCTTCATATAGATGGAGGATTACATGTTCGTGCCTTTCGTAAAATCAACAACTACTAGCAGCTAAGTCAAGGAGAATAAATGGACTACCACATTGCAGCTGTATTAAAAATAATGTTTTCTCCGTTTCAATTTGTTTTTCCGGTTTTAACTTATTAAGAGTTTAGCAAAATAAGAAACACTTTTGAAATTTTTGGTTTTATATTGAAGATATGTGAAATATATTAAAATATTTTTTAATCTTACGTTATTAAACATGTCATGTGAAAAAATAGAAGTAAAGAACGGTCAAAGGGCAAAAATATAAGAGTTAGGGAATACACCAATTAATTATTAAGAGTTGGCTACATTTAATGAGAATACAATACCTCAAAAATGATAGTTAGCGGAATTAACAACAATAAATTAATTGTTTGTACATATGTTTTTTAGATGCAATTACTAGTAACCTGGGGCGAATCTATGTGTAAAGGAGGGATGCCACCGTACCAGTGAACTTGTTGAAACTTCGTATGTTTTATATATATATATATATATATATATTATTCTTATATATAAACCAACAAGGGTAGGACTAACACAATGACAAGTTATACGAAAAGCATTCTAAATAGTACTCTAAAATTGCTACTTTCTCCCCTTCACAAAAACATGTGGCAACACCATCGTTCTTCAGGGAAACACCTGTCAGCACAATTGTTAAGCACGTGTGCTTTTCCATTCCCATTCCATCACAATATCATTCAAACCCTTTCTCCACAAGCTCTTCTCTCAACTCTCAAGACTCTGCATCCCAGCCTCTTGCAGCTCCATGTATGTGAAACTGGTGGTTTTTTCCCTTCTTTTTCGATCTCTTTTTCTTCTTTTTTCCTGTTGTTACTTTCATTGTGATTATGTTGTTATTGTGATTAGATTTTCTTTTTTTGGTAAGTTGTTCTCCTTTCTTCCTTTTTTCTTCCACTAATTTGAAGGTATATACATAAAAATAAGAAATAAATAGATGCAATAAATTGGTTTGATATAAGAGAATAACAAAGACATATTTTGTATCTGAAAAATATAGATGCAGTACATTTTAAATTTGAATGTATAATATTTGCATGTGGATATTTGGGATCTTTTAACCAAGTTCTCAGCTTCTGCTGAGTTTTCATTCAATTCTGTGTTCAAAGTTCTGAGTGTGCTTTGGTTTTATAGCTTCCATATTGCTCAAATTAAATTCTTCTTTTCTCCTTCTTTATTTCTCAGTTTGAGTTGCATGTCAATACTTTCCTTTTGTCTCTACTGTATAGAGAGTGTTTTATTGGGAAAACGCGACAAACACAAAATATATATGGTCACAGTAATGGCAATAAAATGGTAAAATAATGACACTAAAAAATTTACGTTGATACCCTTCATAAATAAGGGAAAAATCATGGGTCAAGAGAAGCAATTGATATTACTATAGTAAGGAATTTACACTGTGTAGTCACGAATACAATACTCAAGTGACTACCATACACTCAAAAGGAACAACACTCTTTTGGTTTCCAGCTTATTAAAATATGACTCACATTCTATTTTTCTTCAAAGACTATTTTTTCTTGTTTAGTCTGTGAAATACCTCACTTTGCTCTCAAAATACATTTTATGTCTGACTTGGTGTATTCTACAAATGAGCAAGAATGCTCTATGTATAAAAGGAGAAAATTATACCTATGTCACTAATGACATAGATAAATACAACAAAGTCAAAAAAGAGTTGCAAGTCTTATCAATTTGACAACTATCAAATCTTTATTTTTAACTTTTATCACAATTGAATAGCAAAAGTTGACCAAAAAATGGGATGGACTCAACATGTTTGATGGTATGCCTACATTAACTTTTCCACCTTCAATAGAAATTTCTAATCAAAATTTATGTTTATTGCGTTTTGATCTTTTCTGTTTGTCCTTTCTTTTTTCTTATTTGTTGGTGAAATCTTTCACAACTTATTGTCTCTCTTCTGTTGTTAATCACTTTTTTGTGGGTGATACTTTTTGCAATCCAGCTCCGTATTGGTATGCAAGTTACAATTATGTTGCATGTATTGATTTAAAATTTCTCTTCACTGTTGATCTGTCACCTTTTTTGTGCTCTCTGCTCTCCTTTTCCTCCTTTTGGGATGTCGTGCTTTTCAATTTCAAGTAAATACATTATGCTTTTTCCCAAAAAAATGCTTAATACACTTTGCGTAGTCATTTCACTCTAACTTAGTCTATGACCAGATGCCCCTTTTCCCTTCCTGTAGTAAATAATCAGGTATAATTGTGTTGTATGCATACATTGCTATTATCATCGAGATCTTAGACATTGACAAAAGGATTTGGTGTATGTTTAGAATATGTATACGACACTTTATTTTTAATTGCATAAGAAGTAAATATTGGAAGAACTTAGACATTAACAAAAGAATGTGCGTCTTAGTTTAATTAGATGTCACAAATTGAAGAGAACTTTAATTAGTGTGGCTCTCTAACTCTTCCTACCCATATTATTGTCAAGATATCTTGGGTGGACACATGGTACTAAGATTTAATATCGATCGAATAACGATTAAAACTCTTTATTGGACTTGTAGAGTCCAAATTGTGGACATGAGTCGAGAGCGAGAAAGTTTGGAGAAGAAAATCAGATTTCATATTTTGATTTTGGAAGATACAGAGGTACTTTTCCTATGTAATATCATCTTATTTTCCTCACATAATTATATTACTGGCCTACAGCTCAGAGAGCTCTGTATGGTGATGATATTGGCAGTTATGCAAACAAGCTTACACTCTTTAAGATATATCTAATTTCAGTCGCAAGAGTAAAAATTTCATCAACTTCAATCAAAAGAATAAAAGGTAGATTTTATTGGATACTTGACAGAGAAATTATAGTTGAACATGTCAAACTAACCGACAAGCTTGCGAAACCACTGTTGTCGTCGATCAAGCTATCTATCACAATTTTTTAGTGTATTTCTCATATCACTTCTGATTATGTTGTAGTAATTGGTGCACTGCCCCTACAACCTATTAGTTGCCTAATATTGAAATTTTATACGTGTATTTCCTTATTTCGCATTAGCTTTTTCTCATCAGATATTTTAGATTTTACAAATGTCTACTTTTGTTTACGGCACCAACTTCTACGTATTGACCATTCATCTGAGAAAGTCATCCTGGATAAGCTCTAGCGTCACTAAAAAATTATGAAAGTTCTTTCATACACAAAGTAGAAACAGGTTTTCAGCGTAGCATTAATGCGTGGAACACTAAAAAATTTATGTCGCTCAACATAGGAAAGGTGGAGATGAAGCCATCAGTTATTGAATCTAGTTCAAGTGTCGGGCTTTTAGTTGAATCACTGATGCCAATAAAAAAAGCCGTAAAATGTGAGTCGTTTAGTGATCCTTCAATTTTTTCCAATGCAAATGATTCCCCAATAGATTTATGTATCTTACAAGTAGACATGTATCTATCTCGGAAAACAAGCATTATTATGCAGTTGCTCGGAATAAGTTTTGTTCCCTCATTTTTTTTCTTATAGATTTGTAGTTATTGACCATTTTCAATCTGCCTCAAATGACATCCTCTTATTCACGCGTTAATTAGGAAAAGATTAATTAACAATCTTTTAATTCCCTTTTGTCTTCTGGTAGATAAGTAAGCAATGTCTCATTCTCGATTGGATTAATTTCCTATGTATTTCTCCAGTAAAACTCACTAGAAATTTCATTCTTACGGTTGTCATTTTCTATCATTTAGATGAAAATATGATTTTATTTTTTCCCATCAATATATGCATAACTTTTTTTTTTGAATTTTGTTGATCTTTGTTGTAGGTTCATTCTCCCATTTTACTATGCTCTCAAGTTCTTTTTCATCTATATTAGATTGAAATTTGTGAATTAAATTTGTAATCAACAGCATTGTAGTATTCTTATTGAGATTGTTGTGAATGGACAATCTTTCTTGGTGCTCGAGATCAACATCGAATTAAGTGGCTACATTTAAAATTTAGGTTGATAAATAGCAAACTGTGAGAGAAAAATAGGTTTATGTGAATTATGTTGCAATTTTCCAAATTTTGTTATCCCCTAACTCCACTTTTGCCCTTACAGTCCTGTGTTGTTAGAATCTGTGCATTCACTATCAGACAACGGACCAGGTCCCTTGACACACAAATAAGGATATAAGAGAAAGTAAATGCAGTTTAACAACATATGAGTTTTACGTGGAAACCTCCTTGCTCAAGGGAGTAAAACCACGACTTGTCTCACAGGATTTTCACAGCCGTTTCACTAATCTTCACAAACAAAAAAAGTTTTTAATCTCACCAACAAGCAATAACTCTATTGCTTGATGAGCCTAAGTAGATGTTATTCTAACCACTAAGCTATCACTCTAGACAACTTAGAATTTTCTAAGCAACACAACAGTTACCCACTAAATTAGTTCAACTAACTAACTTATAATTTCAAATCAAACCACACTAATTTCTTTATACATTTTGGATCAGTTTAAAATGTAAGACCGAAAGAATATATTCTAAAACAACTACACAATATAGGCTTGAGTTTAGGTTGTTCTTGAATGATTTTTCTCCTTGATTTTCTTAAGCCTTGGCAAGAGTTCTTGAATGTGCTTTTCAAGTTGCAAAAACTAAAGAGCAATGTATTAAAGATGACATTGTATAGACAAGTCACATTCCTTAAACCTCTGTCATTGGTTGGAAAGGTCTGAAGTTTCTGACGCTGTTGGGAACAGTGCACCAACTTTCTGTACCTTCAAAGTTGAGAACTGGATACCTTCACAAGGTCCCTTAGTTTGTTACATCATCAAAACTACAAATAACATTTTCCCCCTTTTTGATGATGAAAAACAATACTCCAGGCTCCACTCCAGTTTTAGGACAAATTCCCCATTAATTACTTATCCACCCTCCTAGCATAAACTCAAAACCAAAAGAAAACACAATATACACTACACTAGTTGTATTCCTCCTCACTGTATTCCCCCTCACAAACATGTCTAGTCACAACAACCAGTTAAAATTCTACCTTTTGGCATCATAAAAAAGAGATACGGTAAACCAACAGTATCAATAATAATATTAGAGAAGATCAAAGCCTTTTGGAAATCAAACATAAAAGAAAACATTTGACAAGAGATATCATCTAGAACACCAGGGGAATAATATAAATAGCATTCCAAAATTAACATTTAATACATTAACAGCAAACTGAAATACAAGGACGAAAAGATAAGCCACACAATGAAGACAAGGGAAGATCATGGGACGGACTATTAAGAGGGAGGCTGATGGGAAAGAGACTCAATGATGAGAGTGAGTTTAGCACTAGCATCATCATTATCCTTGGCCCTCAGTTCTGCATTTTCCCTATCCAGGGCTTGAACCACAGCAGTACCAGGTCCCTCTATCTGCGCAGTGAGTAGCTCAGCCTTAAGAATAGCAATTTCAACTCCTTGCCACTCAACCTCATAGTTAGTTCTTCAACTTCATGCTTGAGTTGGTCATGGTCTTCAATGAGTGAGCCATTTTACTCTTGGGATTTCCTTTCCCTTCAATGCACTCACATTCAACCAAGGTAGTCTTTAAAAAGGATTATTTCACTATACCGACCTTGCCCACACCCAGCGGAATGTGAAAGTATTTGAATACTTCAGTGAGAAAGTATCCATATCGCTTACTATGTATCCCTTTCCACTCAATCACAGTCTTGTATATGTGTTCAAGCATGAGTCCCGAAAGATTCATAGGTTTGAACTTGCACAACAATTCCATCACATACAAACCAGCAGAAGTTGCTGAGGTCCTCTTTTCAGTTCGAGGGAGGAGAGTTTTGTTGACAAATTTTAAAAACTAACTGATACTCACTTTTCATCACTTTCTTAAACAGCCCTGCACATTTTGTAGTAGGAAGCTTCGAACACATCTTTTCAGTTCGAGGGAGGAGAGTTTTGTTGACAAATTTTAAAACTAACTGATACTCACTTTTCATCACTTTCTTAAACAGCCCTGCACATTTTGTAGTAGGAAGCTTCGAACACATCTTTTCAGTTCGAGGGAGGAGAGTTTTGTTGACAAATTTTAAAACTAACTGATACTCACTTTTCATCACTTTCTTAAACAGCCCTGCACATTTTGTTAGTAGGAAGCTTCGAACACAGTGTCACAAATTCAACAGAACACGTTTTCCCTACCAAAGACCTGGTACCATCTCGAGGTACCCTAAGAATATTTAAAAACAGAGTCTCGTCAAGGTGAAAAGCAATGTCATTTACTCCGGTATTGACACTTCCATCTTACTGATTGAATGTCATAGTAAAATTCTCGCATTTCCTTTTCATGAAGAATGGGAGATTTCTGGTTGAAAAGATGCATCTAAGACTGAATCTCAACCATGTCATGAAGTGAGTCCATTCCAGGAAGCTTAATTATCCCCATGTCAAAACCCTGCCCGCAAGTATAGACTGCTTCCTCAGATTGTCAACAGTCTCTTGTTTGTTGACCTGCTCTTCAATTTTCCCTTGTGTACCAGGTCCCTGTGACCTTTTCCTTTTTTTCCTGTATCCCTTTTCTATATCTTCGGTAGACACATCTATCACACCAGACTCGGGCAGTTTAAAATTGGACACTTTGAAAGTTCTAGCACTCCTGTTTTCTGTTGTAGACTTAGAACTGGCTTTCAGAGCATCAACCATCATCTTTTTGGCGTCAGATCTAGTAATAGGTCTCCTTATAGACACTTCTCCCACCACTTTATCTTTTTTCTTTTTAGATGCACTTACATCTCTCCGTTCAACCTTCCAATTTATAGATTGTTCATTACCTGCTGAGTCAGAGGAATCAGAGGATGGACATCTCTTAAAATCTGTAGTTCTATCGAAGATAGGTTGGGTCTCTCTGATATCTCTATTATGAAAAGATACATTTCCTCAATCCTGACTTCCTATCGCATAATAGAAAGACTCTCAATCACCAATTCTTTACTTGCAGCAAGAATGTTTGACTCAGAGGTTTTGTTCCTTGGCAAATCTCCTTCAAAAAGAGAATCTGAAAGCATTTCATGATGAGGACCAGGTCCAGTAGGACCATTTGAACTGTTCGGATCTATAGAGTGAAAAGAGTTTTCGAGATTATCTAAAGGGAGAACTTGTTGGAAGATTAGATCTTGACCTTGTGGATGAGGGAGAGTAGAAAGCAATTGGTTAAATATCACTAAGTGTTGTAAGCATTTGCTTAGAAGCAGAAGAAGGTTCAGAAATTTTGTCAAGAAGAAGAAGAGAGTAGCAGAATCATTGAATGAAAAATGTAGAGTAAAGCAAATTTACCGCTCCCCCTCCTTTTTTCGACAGAGTGAAGGAATATTGCAATAAGATGAAGGATTAAAAGAGAGAAATAAAGGGGGTTTAAAAAGAAATGAAATGGTGCCAGGTCCCTATTAATTTGATGCGTCGCTTGGAAAGTAAGTGATGGTACTAACGGTCAGAATAACCGATGATTGACACGTGGCTTGATCAACGGTCACTTTATCTCAGTTTGAAATTAATGTACGAATGCTAACCTCGACTAGGACCAGGTCCCATAATGCAATTTTATCATCATTCCTCAACTGTTCTAGGCATGTATTTGCTTTGCTAGTCCTTTATGAATGTATACCTGCAATAGGTAAAATAGTGATCTAGCTTAAATAAAATATTATTGACACAGAGGATACCTGCACTACAAGTTTTGCCATCAAAGAAATTCAACGATTGAATGACTGGAATCAGTTTGAAGTCATAATGACCAACTTCAACCTATTACTCTGAACTTGATCTTTGCTAAGAGCCTTGGTGAAGATATCTTCAATTGGTTCCTCCGTTGGACAATATGTAAGCATAATGTTTCCTTTTTCAACATTGTCTCTCAAAAAATAATGTCTAACATCAATGTGCTTGGTTCTCTTGTGGTGAACAGGATTCTTTCCCATACTGACTGCACTAGTATTGTCACACATAAGAGGTATGGCCTTGATGATTACCCCAAAATCCTCTAAGTGTTGTTTGATCCATAACAATTGTGAACAACATATAACAGTTGCTACATATTCAGCTTCAGCTGTTGAAAGAGCTACTGAATTTTTTTTCTTAATTCCCCATGAGATAAGTGAAGATATAAGGAAATGCGACATCCCTGTAGTGCTTTCCTGCCAACTTGATAATTAGCAAAATCAACATCTGCAAAACCAACAAGATCAAAAGTGTCACCTGCTGGGTAGAAAAGAACCAGGTCCCCTGTCTTCTTTAAATATCTTAGAATCCATTTTGCAACCTTCAAATGTGAATCACAAGGACATGACACACATTCCAACACTATATACGATATCAGGTCTACTAGCAGTCAGATACAATAAGGATCCAATGATCCCCTATAGATGGTTTGATTCACAAGTGAATCAGATTCATCAGCTATAAGCTTGTAGTTTGTTCCAATAAGAGTATCAATAGGTTTAGAATCAAACATATTGAATTTCTTCAACAGCTCCTTAATGTACTTCTCCTGACTGATTGAGATTCCATTTGATGATTGTTTATTTGTAGCCCCAGAAAGAAGGTAAATTCATCCATCATGCTCATCTCAAACTTCTTTCCCATTAATGATGAAAATTCTTCACACAAATGCTCCGATGTAGCTCGAAAGATAATGTCATCCACATATGCTTGTATAATAAGCAAATCCTGTTTTGCTTTGAATAAGAACAAGGTATTGTCTATTTTCCCTATTTTGAACCCATTTTTCGACAGGAACTTCGACAATATTTCATACAAAGCTTTGGGAGCTTGTTTTAAACGATACAGAGCCTTATTCAATTTGAACACATGATCTGGTAACTCAGCATCCTCAAACCCAGGAGGTTGTTTAACAAACACCTCCTCTTTTAAGTCTCCATTTAGGAAAGCACTCTTGACATCCATTTGATATAGCTTGAATCTGATGAATGCTGCAAAGGCTATGAGAACTCTGATAGCCTCCATCCTTGAAACAGGAGCAAAGGTTTCATAATATTCTATACCTTCTACTGATTGTATCCTTGAACAACTAATCTAGATTTTTTTCTAGTAATCACACCATTTCCATCAAGCTTGTTTCTGAAAACCCATCTGGTTCCTACAACAGTTCTGTCAACAGGTCGAGGAACCAGGTACCACACCTTACTTATTTCAAACTGATGGAGTTCTTCTTGCATTGAATTAATCCAATCTGCATCACCTAATGCCTCTTTCACATTCTTAGGCCCAATTGATGATATAAACGCTTTGAATGCAACTAGATTTCTTGTTTTTGATCTAGAGTGAGTTTCAGAGTTCAGAGGTGAGATGAGATTATCAAGTGGATGTGATGAACTGTGTTTCCGTCCTGGTCTCAAGGTCAACTAGTTTAGCTGATTAGTATGCTCTTCTTCTTAGAGGAATTCTTCATTTTCTGGAGAGTTTGAGATATTCTGATTTGAGTTCAGAATGGTACCAGGTTCCTCTTCATATTTTTCATCTTCATCAGCCTTTTCAGATGAGCTTTGATTAGCATTGTCAATCTCCAATTGGTATTTACATTAGCTTTACTTCCTTCAATTTTCTGAGGATTAAACAACTCAATTAACTCATCTTCATCATTTGATGCATCACCTTTCAGGTTTCCATCTTCATCAAACACAACATGAATACTTTATTCAATACATTGAGTTCTCTTGTTGAAAACTCTATATGTTTTACTTGATGAAGAATATCCTACAAACACTCCATCACTTCTACGATCAAACTTTCCTAGATCATCCATTCCATTGTTCAAAACAAAACATTTGCATCCAAATGCCTAAGGTAGCTCAACATAGGTTTTCTGTTGTTGAGTAATTCATAGGGGGTCTTATTCAGTGAAGACCTTATCAAACATCTGTTAGTAACATGACATGTTGTGTTGATTGCTTCAGCCCAAAAACATTGAGGAAGATTTGACTCAATAATCATGGTCCTTGCAATATTTTCCAAGGTTCTGTTTTTCCTTTCGACTTCTCCATTATTTTGGGGAGTTCTTAGAGCAGAAAAATTGGGACTAGTGCCATTTTTCATACAGAATTGATCAATTTTTTAGTTTTCAAACTCAGTTCCATGATCAGACCTAATTCCAGCAATCACTTGATTCAACTTTGTTTGAATCATTTTGAAAAACACTACCAACTCTTCCAGTGTTTCTGCTTTTGATCTTAAGAACCTTGTCCATGTGTACCTTAAGTAGTCATCAACTATCACCAGATTGTATTTCTTTCCACTTCTACTTTGAACCTTCAAAGGTCCACATAAATCCATATGTAGCAGCTCTAATATTATCGAGGAGGTTACTTGATTCTTTGACTTGAAGGATGATCTGATTTCTTTGCCTTTTGACACAGGCTTCACAAATTTTACTTTCACAAAATTTCAACTTTGGCAGACCTACGACCAGGTTCTTAGAAATCAGTTTATTCAATAAAAATGAGGTTACATGCCCTAGTCTTCGATGCCACAGATCAGCATTTTCATTTTGAGCACTAAGACATGTCAGATCATGTCCATGAGATGTTTATAAGTTAGCCACATACATGTTTTTACTTCTATAAGCAGTAAGAATCACTTTCTTTGTAGTTAGATTAACTACAGTGCACTTCTCAGATGTAAATTTCACTTCATGTCTCTTGTCACAAATTTCAGACACACTCAAAAGACTATCCTTCAACCCACTGACATGACACACGTTGTCAATGGATTCCCCAAGCGATTTTCCCACTTTACCAACACCTAAAATATACCTCTTCTTTCCATCACCACAAGAGACACCTCCTCCCTGAAGTGCCTTGAGTGAGAGGAAATTTTTGATATCACCAGTCATATGTTTAGAGCATCCACTGTCCATGTACCAACATTGAATGCTGCTCCTCTCACTCACCTGCAGCAAGAATCACTTGTTAGGTATGGGAATCCATTTCAATTTGAGTTCCCAAAAAGCAGACAAAGGAGTGATCAAAGTGTTTCTAGCCTAATGAGGTAGTTTCAGATTCTTTTTGACAAAGGATTTTTGAGCTGGATCAAGTCCTTTCTTTGAAAATCTTTTGGTTGACAATTGTTTTGTGGGACAATGCCTCTCTTTTGAAACCCTTTGCTTTTCTGTGTACTTTGAAAGTCTCACATGTGACTTTCTCCAGGCAGTACACTCTTCTTTTAAATGCCCATTTTTACCATAATGAAGGCACATCAAATTATCAGACACAAATACATATTTGTTGTGAGGATTGAAAGAAGGAGTAATATTCAAACTTTCTAAACCCTTCTTGTTGAAATTACTTTGATTTGTTACGTTTGAAAACGGCTTAGAATACTTTGTACACTTAAGAGATTTTCCAATTTCATCTTTAAGTTTGACAATATCCTTTTCTAAGTAGTTTCTTCTTTCCAAAGCCAAACCAAGATTAGTCTTAGAGGTTTTCAGTTTTTCTTCAAGATCAACTTGTAAACAATTAGACTTTCCTTTTTGCTTTTTAGCTTTCTCATTTATCAGATGCAACTGTTTTTATGTTTTATTTTGTCAGATTCCAGAACAGCCATTTTATCTTCAATTTTCAGCATTTTCTAATCCATTTTATCTCTATTTTCATTTATGCTTTCAAGCTCAGCATCATAATATCTCTTTCAGAAGTTAACTCAATAACTGAATCAATCCTAACATTTGCTAATGTTCTCAATTTTTTAAGAGAATAGGTATTCAGATCATGTTTCATATCAAGAAGAGTTACTTTATCCTCATCATCTTCATTTTTTGAATGAGCCATGAAAGCAAACATCTCATTGAATATGGTTTCCTCTTCATGAACCACCACCATTGACACATCATTTGGTTCATCAAGATCTCTAAGTCACTTAAAGAGTCTCCCCATGCAGAAGAGCTTTCTTGAACACATAGTCAGCAACAACTTTCCGATCATTCTTATTGAGTACTAGGTCCCTTCGATTTTCTTTATCACCTCTTGATTTTTGATATTCTTTGTTTCAGCTTTGAGTAATGGACACTCTCTTATAAAGTGTCCAGCTTTTTCACTCTTGTAACAAGTATCATTTTGAGTGGCAGTTCGAGGAACATTTGCTCCCTTTCTAAAACCTCTATTTTTCCTCACAATCTTATGAAATCTCTTGATGAGGTAAGCCATATCATCTTCATCACTGGAGTCCTCTTCAGATCTGTATTTCAGTATCAAGGACTTATCTTTCTTGACTTTCTTATTTGACTGATCATGACTTCGGTTCATCTCATCAGTCTTTAGATTTCCAATGAGAGCATCCATTGTTAACAGGTCCTTTGCTTCAGTAATAGCATCAACCTTACTTTCTCAAGACTTGGGAATGATTCGAAGAACTTTACTGACTTGCTTACTTATACTGATAGGTTCTCCAAGACTTCTCAACTCATTTGTGATGGATGACAGTTTAGTGAACATTTCATGAATAGTTTCACCTTCTCTCATTTAGAAATTTTCATACTGAGATTTAAGCATATCAATCTTTGACTCTTTTACTTGTTCAGATCCTTATGGACTACTTTTAAGCAATCCCATATCTCTTTTGCAGATTCACAAGCTGAGACAAGATTGTACTCATCAGATCCTATACCACAGACAAGAAGTTTCTTGCTTTTTACCCCTTTTCAATCTTCTTCCTATCATCTTCATCATATTTTTGCCTTGTCTTTGGAACAAGCCGAGTGTTTTCACCATCTTTCTCTTCAATAATAGGGATGAATGGTCCATCTAAAACATGTCCCATAGTTCATTGCCTTCATCCATAAGGAAGTCGTGCATTCTCACTTTCCACCAACTATAAAAGTGGCCATTGAAATGAGGGGGTCTAGTTGAAGACTGACCCTCTTCCAGATTAAGTGGAGCATCCATTCTAGAACGGGAATCACTCTCTTGGTGACCAGATAGAGAATACTGACTCTGATACCACTTGTTAGAATCTGTGCGTCCACTATCAGTCAATGGACCAGGTCCCTTAACACATAAATAAAGATATAACAGAAATTAAATGCAGTTTAACAACAGAGGAGTTTTACGTGGAAACCCCCTTTCTCAAGGGAGTAAAACCACGACCTGTCTCACAGGATTTTCACAACCGTTTCACTAATCTTCACAAGAAAAAGAAAACCGGTTACACAAATGTGAGAAAAAGTTTTTAATCTCACCAATAAGCAATAACTCTATTGCTTGATGAGCCTAAGTAGATGTTATTCTACCCACTAAGCTATCACTCTAGACAACTTAGAATTTTCTAAGCAACACAACAGTTACCCACTAAATTAGTTCAACTAACTAACTTAGAATTTCAAATCAAACCACACTAATTACTTTATAGATTTAGGATCAGTTTACAATGTAAGACCGAATGAATATATTCTCAAACAACTACACAATATACGTCTGAGTTTAGGTTGTTCTTGAATGATTCTTCTCCTTGATTTTCTTACCTTTGCAAGAGTTCTTGAATGTGTTTTTTCAAGTTGCAAAACTAAAGAGCAATGTATGTAAAGATGACATTGTATAGACAAGTCACATTCCTTAAACCCCTGCCATTGGTTGGAAAGGTCTGACGTTTCTGACGCAGTTGGAAACTGTGCACCAACTTTCTGTACCTTCTCCATCTGGCAGTCAATGAACTATTCAAGTTGAGAACCGGGTATCTTCACAAGGTCCCTGAGTTTGTTACATCATCAAAACTACAAATAACATGTCTGTTTGAATACTGTATAATTGCAGAAAGTATCTTCCTCATTTTGATGTTGCTGGAAAAGAAAAGTCTTTATGGATTCTCAATATCTACAACTTCTCTTGGTATGAAGGACCAATTATTAGGAACTAGGAAGGTGGGAGTAACAAAGATGATATGCAGGTTTTCCATGTTTTTTGTCACCTCAACGCTCCAAATTCAAAATGAAGTGGATATGTCACTTTCAGTTAAGTTTGTTGAATCAAACTTTTGTTTAAGTAAATATTCACTATTATGAAACTAACTTCACTATGTGTACATGTATAAATACATATACTCTTGGAAGAATTTTTCTCGTTCCGTATATTAATTCTGAATGACATTGTCCTGATTCACAAGTACAAGAACAGAAGTCAGAAAGTGATTTTGTGATGACTAATGAGGCATTAGAGAGGGAAAAGGCGTGGTATATGGGGGTGATGATTCAACTTTGCGAACGGGGTGATCTTTAGTTATTTCATACTGGATGTGGTATTGATTCGTTTGATGTGGAAGCTATTGAAGTTCTCAATGCTCAGAAAACTGATTTTGGGATGTATTGATGTTTGACTATATTTCATGTTTCTGTATGAGTTCTCCTTCATTGTTGTGTGTTTGTAATAAATAAATTCCCTTTCTCGGTTGATTTTATTTGTCGCTATAAGGAAGATGAAGTTTGACATCAATAAAGCGAGAGACTTTCTTCTAAAATGCTACATCACATTTTTCATGCTTTTGGTTCTGTGGAAGGTGAAAGGGCCAGGGACAGAACTCCGGACACATAACTCCAGGGGGAGCACTCTCTGGGGACATAACAATATTCTGTCACCGCGAGCTTAGGACATTGGTTTGTGGCAGTCGTAAGGTATTATAGCTCCTAATAATTTCTCTCACCCATTGGCCTTACATCATTTTAATTACCAATTATTTTCATGACAACAAATAGAAACGAAAAAATATGAACAGTAGTAGTAGAATGAATTATCATGTAGGGAGTTGGAAAAATCCTTATATGATTTGTGAACTCTTTTAGTGTTTGTTTTGTTTACTAAAGAAATTAAGATGAGAAGCTGAAATCAGTTTTCTATTACTGTATCAATTCTTAAATGGAGAAAGTGAATCACTTCAATGTGAGCAATAACATAGAATAAGTGTGGTATCAGTTGCTAGAATAAGTGTGGTATCAGTTGCTAAATTAACCTTTGGCTTGGTTTATCTACTCAATTGCGGAGAAAAGGTGGCAGAACTTATTTCATAACAACATTTTTAATACACTGCACTTTCAGGACAAGTTTGCGCGCAGGACACTTTGATCTTCGAGCCTTGTATGATAGTGAGGGTTAGTGAGATTCGGGCTGCCAAGGGTCCCACATTCTGGTGAGTTGAAGATTGCTTTTGAAAATTTATACATTTCATTCGAGATTCTTCTCATGCATTTGTGCATATTCAATGAAAGTTGTAATTGCTAAATTCGTTGAAAAGATTCACGGTTAAAGGCAGAACCGAAATTCTTACTCTTATGCCTCATGGTTGGTGAGGAAATAGAAATCATGAGAAACGGTGAAATTAGATTGTTTATCTGTTAATCTATATACGTCAATTTTCTTCGTTCTTTTTTTTTCCTTTCAAATATGACTTGTATTCAATTTGGTGAAGGTACATCAATATTTTGGCAGTAGTCATTTTCGCTTCTAAGCATGTTCAGAAAATTTATGCATCAAGCTAAGTTTGATCATTTTTTGCTACATTAAATCTAATTAAATTGGATATGTATTTTGAATTTTTATCCTAGATAAGCCTGCAAGTCGTTTATTCTATTCCCTTTTTTGTCGCTGTTCTTGTAGATTCTCATATACAATGTCGATTATATGAAGACCATAATACTATCAGATACCCATTCGTAGACGAGCCTTTTAGAATATTATAAATAAATATAACATATATAAAAGCTTTTTTTGCTTCACCAACTATTTAATCTACATGAAAAGTACTGGTGTACTAACAATTTTTTTCTCATCGACATTTCTTTTGGTTAAAATTGATGTTATTTTCATGTCAATATTGGGCTCGTGCTTTATCCCTTCTTTTATGCATATATATATATATATACACATATATATATGTATATATACATATATATATATATATATATATATGTATATATATATACAAGTAACAAGTATGTTTATGGTGCCAACGGTATTCGGTTAAGTTTTTGGCATCCTTGCCTATCTTAGAATTGCATATTTTTATGTTAAATTTTAGGATAATTGTATGAAATAACAAATTATTAATTCAAATTAAAAATTATAGTAATAGTCTATTTCTTTTTAGTTAAAAGTAAAAATCTCATTTTTTGTCATCTGATTCTGTATACAATTAGTCATTTTCGGCATACAAACTCATCCAGTGTACAAATGTATAGAATGTGTTTGTGTTTGTATAAAGTGAGAAAAAAGTGTATACACTGTATTACATATTTTTTCATCGTATATACTTATAATTATACAAATAGAGATCTTCCTTTTCCCTGTTCTCTTTTGTTTTCTCTCTTTCTCGTTCTATACAAATTGCAATGTATAATTTGTGTTGTATAAAGAGAAAGAGAGATTTGCTTATAATTTTCACATATACACTTATACAAATAACACATCCATATACAAATTACGACAAATGATTTTTATACAAATTATCCAATTGTATAAATAAATTTATACAAAATTGAACAATTGTTTGTATGTAAATTGGATGTATCTAGCGAATTATACAAATCAAAAGCGCAATAGTAAACATAGATTTGTTATGGTGGACAATGCAAACTATAACTATAGCATACAAATATAATGTTTATATTGTTATATATGAAAGTTTCTCTAAATTTTATGCTGCATTTTCCATTTCTTTTGCCAAAAAAAGGTTGAGCAAAGATTCAAACCCACTAAGCATTATTATTGGGTCATCTGATATCAACTAGAATCAAGTTGTAAAGTAATAAACTTTATATGTTTTGGTGGTGGGTTGTCCATGTGGACCGATCCAACACGACCTAATTCTGTTCGGTCCAATTCATTTTTGTCCTATCCGATTTAATTAATTAATTAATTAATTAATTAAATGGATAATTTTTTTTAAAGGATACGAGGAATAGAAAGGCAAAAACAGTTAACAAATAGAAAGAAAAGTTCGTTACATAAATCAATCTACACAATAAAGAGACTCTTAGTTTGTGAACAAGAACAGTCTTGATTTTCTTGTGATTCAAAAAGAGAACTGGAGTAATTTATTTCGACAACAAAATCAATAATGAATATTTCACTGCACGTTATCAAGTACGCATATTGTTATTATTTTGTCTTTAAAATTTCTTCACTGGTATCAGAACAATTATCAGTTGATCCCATTATTTGGATGTTGATATTTTAACTCATTGTGTTGTTGAAAAGAAATCTTCTATAACTACTTTTTATTGAAAATCAGTGAATTTTTTGTTTGGAAGAAGTTAGGGTTTTCTTTTTTATATATTTCTTATGTGGATTAATTATGTTTTAAATAAGATTCTCATATTGTATATAGGATTCATTATCCTACAAACAAAGAAATTTTGTCATATTTTTTTAAAAACTGCTTTTGTTTGTAGTGATGTGTAAATTGATTGTACAATATTCTAGGTTGCAACTTATGCTATATAGAATGATCTGCTTGTTCGTAGCTTTTCGAAAATATATTACATCAAAAAATGGAATTTAAATCAAGTAATATATGAATTTTTGTACGTTGGTTGTTTTTGACTTTTTTTTTCAAAAAACCTGCTTCTATTGTTTGCGATTAGAAAATTAGTGTACTTTTTTTTAGCTTGAAACATAATTTTTCATGATCTACTCGTTTATGGCTTTCTGAAAATATATTATAATAGAAAAATATATTTAAACGAGTGAGATATGCAATTTTGAAATTGGTCAGGGGAAAAACAAAAAACATTTTTAAATTACCTTTTTAGAAGCGTTTCGTGTCCTTTAGGATTACACTTTTTTGGAAACTGAATATTTGTCCTTTTTGGAATATTTTTAGATAATATATGTGTTTATATATTATGTTTTTCAAATACAGGTCTTGTTGATTTGTTTAATTTTTATATTCCTTAAACAGTTGTTTTTTTGTCTCATACAAATGAAAGTGTCATATATGAATGGTTCAACCATTATTATTGTTTCCTTCTTCCCATTTCAGACATGGTTGAACAAGAACAAACTCGAATTATTTCAACTGGAGTTCTCACAGTCGAGTAAAAGGACAATATAGAAGAGCACAGAGCCATAGGACATGTTTTTGAGAGAGAGAAATCATACGGATTGGTAACATGAGGGCGACACAAAATTTGTTAAGGAATCAAAGAGTCATTCGAAAGAAAAGAGATAAAGATCTGAAAGAGATTATCTATTTGAAGATGAATCCTCTTGTGTATTTATTAGACTTCCTCATATCCTTTAACATGAAATTTGATGAGGTTAATGAAAGTGTTATTCAAGTTGAGGAGTGGCTTGCACACGGCGTCTTGTATCATTCTTTACCAGAGTACTCAAAGCTAGAACTAATCAAAACCTATTTCGAAAGGGGATAATGAATCACTATGGAAGTATGTGGTCAATATATGAGTTAAGTGGGTAAAATTTCAAAACATAAACCTATTTTCGTATTGAATTTTGTTGTTTATTTTTTATAAATATGTGACGCACATTTTAATTATGCTTTATATATGAATATTTGAGTTTTATCCTTTTTTTTTATGGATTAGTAGATTGTTAATCTATTGCGCATTATCATATAATATTTGATTATCGGACATGTAAATCTTTGTGATTATGCTCTAAAATATATAAGTATATATACATAATAAAATTAGTATCGAATTTTGGTTAAATATATAGTTTGTAAATGATGATTGGATACCTACACGTCTTTTCGATTTTACATTATGTATGAAATCTTTTTGAGAATTGATTTGCTTGTACGTCGCATGCAAAATTTATTTAAAGTATTCTTGCCTAATGAACTTGCAAATATAGTCATGACATCAAAATGCTATTATTGTTGACTTAAACAAAGGTGAACTTAACATTGAGAATTACGAAATCTGAAATCATATGATATGGTATGTATCGAAGAGAAAAATACTCTGCAAGTGGTAAATCATGTTTTCAATCAACCAGAAGAGGATAACTCTACACAACATAGAAGAAATCTTGAAGCTTACAGAGTTTTTAGAAAAAAAAGAAAGTTGATTCCACTATACATGAAATAATAGTTAGTTATGTGATTGATGACCTCATACATGATAAGATGAATTTCTTATTGTTTATGCAATGTGAGCACATCCGCAAGGAACATATGAGGGTACTTCTGTAACCCGCCTCCAATAGACGATTATCAAATTTGACGCTTATAAGAAGTGTCATGATCATAATGTCAAATAACACCTTAGGGTGATGTCAACCATGATAGCACAACTCAAGAGTGTTGTCCATGTTCTTTTAGATAAGCAACAAGTCCAGGTAGTGATTTGGTCTCTTTTCAATAATTGAAAACATTTGAAGGTTAACTTGATCCATAATGGTAGTACCAAAACTTTTTTAGATGTTGCTTGCCATGTGGAACTTGAATATGAGCGACTTGGTGCTGCCAAAGCTACTTTTAATGCATTTGTGGCAGAGTCAAGTGGTACAAAATCTTCAGGCTTTAAGCGTAAGAAGAATTGGAAAAGAAATGGGAAAGAAAAAGAGATTGGAGAAGGACCCTCTAAGAAAAAAAAGAAGCCAAAGTTCAATAAGGAAGGTTTTTTCAAGAAGATAGACAAGAGTAAAATGAAAAAGTGTAACAATTTTCAAGTATTGGGGTATTTTGCTCGTGAATGTACCGAGCCCAAAAAAGTAACATTTCTTAACGCATATCTAAGTTCTATATATGTTTCTAGCACTTCCTTATTGACTTAAACTTATCGTATGTGGATTGTAAACTCATAATCCACCGACCACGTGAGTTGAGATCGAGAAACGTTTGTGGAGTTTCATCAAGTTTCATCTAAATTAAGGTGGATCTACGTGGGAAATAATGCAAAACTGAAAGTCAATGAAATAGACACTTGCAAAGTGGACTTGTGTGATGGTCGTTCCTTCATGTTGCAAGAAGTCTTGTATGCACAAGAAATTTTATGAAACATAGTGTTTGTGTCTATTCTTGTAGATGTTGGTTTTGATTTATTTCTTTGTCGTAATAGTGTTAGAATAACATTCAATAATGATTTATATGGCCCAATGGTTTCACAACCCTTATGTGGGCCCACACATACCTCGACAATCAAACCCTCACTAAATATTTATGTAGTCAATCAATTGAATTATTATGATTGCTCGGGATATCACATGTCAATTATCACTTTTAACAACTTGTTTATAGTTAATTTACCAGTAAATCATATTTCCTCTATCACCTCTTAGTTGTCATGATTTCATAATTTAGAGTTAAATAATAAGAATTTTGACTTATATTTTAGAATTTATTTTTCATCATATTTATATGTAATAAAATTGCAACATGTTGTACTTTTTGTATAGTTT